TTTCCCATATTACTATTTAGGTTCTAGTGCGTTTAGTAAAAAAAAAATTATCTTAATTTGGTTAGTCATATAATCACGTTTGCTTTGGGCACAAAAGATCATCATTCATCATCATTCCAAAACGTTATATCAATTAATTTACTTTCGTACGTGCGTACGTATGTACGTACATAACAGATAACTAATAACTGATGATGTATGTTTAGCAAAATTTTATTTCTTTTCATTTTATTATCGCCTTTTATCTCATTGTATTACGTCTATTACCAACTTTTATCTCTTTTATCTTTAATTGATGAAAATTTTAATAAGACTTAGCTTTTTGGACTGTGATTTAGTCACAAAACACATCTTTAAAGCCAAGATCGTGAGGCAGAGTTAGGTATCAAGCATTTCAAGTATTACACGAGTATTGATCAAGCAAGCATCTCAAGCACTAACAAGTAATGATACGCAGATCAAATTAGTATATATATACAAGTCAGTTTTGACCCATTGGCAAAGTTTTCCCGTTGAAAGAAAATGAATTTACGAAACGTCACCAGATGCTGTTATTGTATAAAATTGAAAACAGGAGTTTTTATCATATCTTTAATTTGGCTGGTAAAAATAACCTTTAAAAATAATCAATGCATATGTATCTTAAAATTTTAAGAAATCAAATATTGATTCGTTTTGTAATTAACAAAATAACGTTAAAATACCTGTCTATTTTTTTTTTTCTACAGCTTTTTGGCGTATTTGGAATATTAAACGTTTTTATTCCCGGTTATTCAATTTGTATGTTTCTAAAAATTTGTCTTGAGAATGATGAAATGATTAATTAATTTTTATTGCATGAACTAAAGTTTTTATTATTAGACTACAATAACATTAATGCAGTGAAGTATATTTTACTTATTGGTGACATTTTAATTTCTCTTGCCGCTCTTTTTGGAATTTTCTTTTGGCTTTCTGTACGTGACCAGTGATAATGCATATAATTTGGTTTTTATCGTTATATTAGATAACTGAAATTTATTTTAAAAATAACAGGGCAAACCAAATCTTATAATTATTTACACCTATTTCGCATATGCTATTGTCGCCATTTTAGCAATCGTTGATATTATTAGTATGATAGTTTTTCACGCTAACAAAGATGCATATCTACAATATTGTCTTACTACATTGAAATCCGATCCTCTTGAATATGGTTCTAAGAGTGATTCAGAATTGAATAGTACTTGTAATAGTTCTTTTCAAAAATATTTTATAATTGTTGTTTTAATTTCTGGTCTTCATTTTGCTATTTCGGTATGTGTTTAAATAACGATAGTACAACAACAACCTTTTTTTTTAAAAAAAAATTTGATTAATATTTATTGTTTATTATTATTTTTATAGGTTTATTTCGCATTTATTGTCGCAGCTTACGCTGATACATTTAAAGAACATGATGACGAAATGTATTATTATCCGAGAGATTATCGTCAAATGTGACGGATTAAAATGAAATCAGATTAAATGAAATAAGTGATAATGTCAAATAGACAAGCCACTGAAAAAATACAAATTTTTGGGTGCATTTTTTAAGGTTAGGATTAGGGTTTAGGGTGGTTTTATAATAAACAAGTATAAGTGGGTTTTAGGGAATCTCCTCATTTCATTTTAATCTGACTCCGCGACAATAAAAAATTTTAAAATTTATAATGCACTAAGTATTAGAATGGAAGGTCCAATTTGGTCTTCAATGGGCCATAGTTTATCAGTATTCACTTTGTACATTGTGTTTTCTAGAATATTTTAGATATTAGCTAGAATCAGAATACTACTTCTTGTTGCAACAGATAACTGTCTATTTTTTTAAAAAAGTTTTATATTCTCCGTGTACGTACTGTATATACTTTTTAGGGCCATGGTTTAAATAACCGGCCAATCAAATTGTATTTTATCGACCAATCAAATCGCAGTTTAGAAACTATATAATTTCATACCTATGTATTATACTTAAATTTTAATAAATTTATCTATTTTATTTGAGCACTTTGCTTTTAACCAAAAAAATAAATATTGTAATGATAATATAAAAAATGAAAAAAAATAAAGACTTCACGAACATGTGACCTTGAGGCACGTGGTTTGTCTTATCTATAGAAATTTGTATCGATCATATATCGATATTTTCGGGTTTTGAAATTTTTAATGCCCGTGTAACATTATGCAAAATTAAGTATAATTTAGGCCGGGCAATATAAATTTGGCAACCCTAAGTTATCGGTGTAAATCGATATTTTTCCCATCTCGCACCGATAAAGCAATTTAATTGGCTAACTATTCCTAACTATTGGTATTATACCCGTTGGTATGTAATAGTTATTTCCTGGGCAGTTGGGTATAAGCGGGGCTGAAAGTCCCGCTTATCACATAGTGCCCAGGACATAACTGATTTATGCCCTGCGATCTTGATATAGTGACCAGGGTATAAAATACATTATCCTAATTATTGCATCAAAAAAGTAACTTTACGTACCTGGCTTTAATATTTCCCCGTATTTAGAGATAATTAATTCGCTCTCATCTTTGATGACCAGTGACTATTATTTCATCAACTCAACAAAAAATCACAAAGAAAAAATGAAAATTGCTAATGTTCTGGTGAATTGATATACATATTTGCATCGGACCGCCGAAATTTATACATATAAATCATGTCTTTATTGTCATGTGTTAGTATTTGTAATTCTCCTATGCAATAGTCGGATATGTTGTTTAAATAAATTAAGTTTTTTTTCTTTTACCGAATATGTGAGTCGATTCACATGTGAGTTATAACTGCTTTTCCCGTGATCTGGTCTGCTCTATTACTATTTGCATGTAAGCATACATACTGTACAATTAAACTTTTAGATTCCTGTCGGAAGGCCCTTTTGTTGTTTATTTGACTGTCAAAAAAATTAAGTTGTGCGTAGAAACTGTCTAGCCAATTAAATTGCTATTTGAAATTGTGTATTATATAAATGATGAAATATGCGAACGAACCTAGATTTAACGGACTATCTTTTAATGCAATAAATATTTCAATGCATATACTTACACACAAGGCAAACTCAATAGACGATATCTCTTTATTAAGTTTTTAATATTTTAAATTTTAAATTTTAAGCCAAGGTTATATTTTTATTAACTCTATACCAAGAACCTTCGACTTGTAATATATAGATACCATAAAGAAAATTTATCATCAAATATCGAATGATTCAAGTTTACATACCGGAAAGCAACAATTGAACTCCGGTGACATTTTTTACTCGGAAATAGTATTCTCCCATACTATGTATTAAATTCAATTATTAAAATCAAATAATGCATGTATGCATACTGCATTATAATTGTGGGATTAATATTTTAATGCAATATTATGTAGGGGGCTAATATTTAAAAGGTGTGTACAAACAAATAGTCATTTGCTTTACTTTTCGCGCGCCATTGACATTTTTAGTATTTGAATCTATCTAATTGTTCATTCGTAGCGAAGCGCCAAAATTTCATGCATTTTGTCAAAAGACTGGTTCTTACATGTTGCGCTTTAAAGTTTTCTATATCTTGACGAAAGCTTAAATTAATAATGCAGCATTTAATTAAATTATGCCAGTACATGCAAGATTAATTAATCTTCCTAATTCAACTTATTTCAATAAATTCTCTTTAACGATAATCAATGTAAAATAGATTTCATATCTATCATTATTCCAAAATTTATCTATATAAGTGGGGCCTTTGGAACTTCTCTAGCTCTGCAGGTCAAATCAAATCTATAATAGAAAAATAAATAGTTCTTTTAAACATTCATTAAACAAATTCTTTTAAATTATGAAATTCAACATTGCCACCGTATCTTTAATTCTCCTCGCTGCCAGCTCTTTGGCTGTTCCAACTCCAAATGACGCCAAGGATTTAGGTAAATGTTTATTTTTTACATATTCAACTACTTATATTATGTGTTTAATAACTTATTTATTAATATGATTTTCATTCTTGTTCTATAGATTTGGCTCTTGAAAAGCGTTCTTCTGGTAAATACTACGAAGAAGGAAAGGCAAAAGAAACCGATTCGAAAGCGAAAAAGGTTACCAAGAAACAGAAAGCAAATGAAAAGACCAAGAAAAATGTTGAAAAGAATCATAAACACGTAAACTCGAAAGAGAACCAAGC